GGACCAATGGAATAGAATAGAGAACCAGAAATCAACCCACATACTTACAGCCAACTGATCTTTGACAGGGGCAACAGGAGAATACATTGGGGAGAAGACTGCCTCTTCAGTAAGTTGTGCTGGGGAAACTGGACACTCATAAGTAGAAGAACAAAACTAGACCTGTATTTTTTGCCATATACCAAAGTCAACTCAAAATTGATTAAAGACTTATGCTTAGGCCGGCCCGGTGGCGCACTGCTACAGTGCGCCGCTTGGGAGTGTGGCGGCGCTCCCGCCGAGGGTTCAGATCCCACATACAGACTGGCGGCCGCTCACTGGCTGAGCGAGGTGTGGGTGCAACACCGAGGGTTGCGATCCGTTGCCGGTCACAAAAAAAAAAAAAAGACTTATGCTTACATATAAGACATGAAAATATAAAACTACCAAAAGAAAACATAGAGGAAACACTTCAGGAAGTAGGATTGTGCAAAGACTATGAATAAGACCCCCCAAAACACAGGTAATGAAAGAAAAAAATAAACAAATGAGATTATACCAAACTAAAAAGTTTCTGCACAGCAAAAGAAACAGTTAACAGAGCCAAAAGACAACCTACAGAATGGGAGAAGATATTTACAAACTCTGGATCCAACAAGGGATTAATATCCAAAATATGCAAGGAACTCAAACAATTTAAAAGAAAAATACAAGTAATCAATTGAAAAATGGGCAAAGGAGGGCTGGAGCCTAGGGCCACCCCCTCCGCCCCAAAGCAGGCAAGAAACAGAGCGTGCCTGGAACCCTCAGGCTGGAGCCAAGGGCAGCATCCCCTGACTAGAAGCAGGCAAGGAGCATACTGAAAACAGCACTTCCACGCAGGGGGCCCACCATAGCCACCACCACAGCCACAGCTGCTGCAAAAGCATCTCAATGCCACAGCCACCATGCAGGCAGCCCACCCGATATTCGGCCACAGTGACACAAGAGTCACCAGTGGAGACTAGAAAAGAAGAGGATGTCTCTCTCCTCAAAGCCCACTCCAGTGTAATAGAAGAAGCAAGTGATCTACCCCTGCCTCTGCTTTATTTCTGATTTTAGTAACTTCTGTTTTCTTTTTTCTTGGTCAGTCTAGATAAAGGTTTGCAAATTGTGTTGATCTTTTTAAAAAATAAACTTTTGGTTTTGATGATTCTATTGTTTTTAATTCCCTATTTCATATATTTCTATTGTAATCTTTATTATTTCCTACTTATGTTTGCTTTTGGTTTAGTTTGCTCTTCTTTTTCTATTTTCTTAAAGTAAAAGTTTATATTACTGATTTGAGATTTTTCTTATTTTTAATATAGGTGTTTACAAGAATAAGTTTTCCTCTAAGCACTACATGAACCCTACATCCTATAAATTTTGATATGTTGTGCTTTGAAAAAAAAAGTAAAAAAAAAATTGAGGTGTTTACAAGAATAAGTTTTCCTCTAAGCACTACATGAACCCTACATCCTATAAATTTTAAAAAATTACATACAGTAAAATGCACAGATCTTAAAAAAAATGGGCAAAGGAGCTGAGTAGGCATTTCTCAGAGGAAGATAAACAAATGGCCAACAGATACATGAAAAAGTGCTCAACATCACTAAGCATCAGGGGAATGCAAATCAAAAACACATTGAGATATCGTCTCACTCCAAGTTAGACTGGCCACTATAGAAAAGAGAAGAAAAATGCTGGCAAGGATGTGGAGAAAGGGAAACCCTCCTACACTGTTGGTGGGACGGTAAATTAGTGCAGCCATTATGGAAAACAGTATGGAGGTTCCTCAAACAACTATAGGTAGAACTACCATAAGATCCAGCAATCCCACTACTGGGTGTATACCCAAAGGAATGGAAATCATCAGGCTCCCATGTTTATCGCAGCTCTGTTTACAAGAGCTAAAAGTTGGAACTAACCTAAATGCCCATCTTCAGATGAGTGGATAAGGAAAAGTGGTATATATACACAATGGAATACTACTGTGCCATAAGAAGTGAAATTCTGCCATTCACAGCAACACAGATTAACTTAGAGAAAACTATGTTAAGTGAAATAAGCCAGGCACAGAAAGAGAGATATCACGTGTCCTCACTAATTAAAGTGGGAATTAAAACAAAAATCAAAAAAATGGAAGAATGATATAGCAATCACAATAATTCACTGAACTTTCAAAAGGAGAGAATGGAACTGAGGCCACCAGAGGTGAGAAAGGGGGAGGAGGTGGGGAGGTTAGCAAAAAATTGGTAAAAGGCCACAAAAAAGGATTATATTGTTTAGCAATAAGTATAGTGGTTATCCTGATTTTAGCATCATGTATTGCACACTGATACTGATATTCAATGCTGTACCCCACAGATATTAATTTTTTTTAAATAATAGCAAATGTTTAATCAGTAATAATGCAGAAGAATCTTCAGCAAAATGAGGGACAAGAACATCCACTCTCTTCACTGCTATTTCACATTGCTCTGAAGATGCAAGCCTCTTAAATCAGACAGGAGAAAGAAATTAGAAGTGTAACTAATTAAAAGGAGGCAGTAAAACGTCTACTATTTTCAAATCATATTACAAACGTGTAAAATCCAATTCTGGTAGAATCTACCAGAAAACTAATATGAAAATAAGTCAATTCAGTGAGGTAGTGGTAAGATATAAAAATTATGCACAGAAAGTAACCTTTCATATAAAACAATAAAAATGTTAGCAATCTTATACATAGAAAACCCAGAATGTTAGAATATAAGGAAATACCTCATTTACAATGACAAAAACAAAACATCTAGAACTAAATTTAATTTTTAAAATTCCAGATTTATATTAAGGCAACTGATCGATCCACACTTGATTCACACCCATCACATTGTCCCCTGTATGTGAATGACTCCAGCAGCACCTGGAACTAGGCTCGGTTTTAGAAAATGGACCTGAGAAGGAGTACTCTGTGAAGGCTCCCAGTGGAATAGACTGTGTCTTCCTGCCTTTACAGTTGACACTTCCTATTATTTGCAGCCAAAATATATCTGATGTAAAAGCTTCATCAGGTTTGGTCGGATGAGAGGTTTTTCTTTACTAGCATTCCTGGTAAACTTTTGCTCAAATAATCCTGAGTCCTTGGGTAGCCTGTTGAGAGTAGTCACAAAGTTGACAGAGATTTGGGAGCTGTGTGTTATGTTTTTTCCCAGGGTCTTATTGAGGCAGCTGGGACCCCTGATTAGAGATAATGTCACCTCCAATACAATGTGGGCACAGATGTCTCATCTGTCACTTCCCTGGAAGACTCCCAGCTAAGGCATGCAAGGCTGTCTCACTGTGCATGGAAGTGGGGGTCACTTTATGCATTTCTACTGTGCATTCAGGTGTTCTACCAAATGGTACTTAAGTTTTTTAACGTAAAGAAAGCATATATGCTCCTTTTAAGTCATTTTTTAAATGAATAAAAATTATACATTAACAAATTTGTGAGGATTCCAGCTAACCACAGGTTTCCCGGAAGTAACAGTTTGATCCCTTCCTTTTAAGATCATTGAATTCAATGTCTGTTATCACTATTTCTTTGTGTCTTTTGCTTTTTTTAATGCTTGTGTGCTCTTGCAGAGGACACCAAATGATCCAGTAAAACACACCATCTTTAATGATCCTATCATAAAAATAAAATTGAGTGATTATACCATAACTTGTAAGAAAATTATTTAAAAAGAGGAAATTTAGTTAAAGTTACTCCTGTTTGCCAATTGATTGTGGTTACTAGCAAGATTGTTGGGTTTCAGTATGAAGTGCCCTACAGAGATAAAAGATCCCCAGATTCCAACGTGTCAGCATGCTCTCAACAAATCACACAACCTAGAGCGGCTTCAATAGATTGAGGACATTAGGCCAAGAAATCCTGTTTGGGTCCTCCCCGCAGCACAAAGGCCATTAAACTGGTCCACAGGAGGAACTTTCACTTGCACGGCCAACGGGAAAGCGAAGTAGCCTTATATTCCCTAACCAGATTTCCCGACTCCTAAAATCTCTCCACATTGGGCCTGTCTTACAGGAAAGATCAGAAATGTGCATAGGGAAGGAATAGTATGTCCCTAGGGCACTGTCATCTCCAGAAATTACACCCACATACACGTGGGTGCTGTGATTTTCCTCCTCCCAGCAAAGCTGATGTTGGAACTTAACTCCAGTATGGTGATGGAAAACAGCTTTTGAGGTGACTGGATCTTGAGGATTGTGCCCTGGTGAGTGTCTTGATGAATTCATGGAGTAATAGGTTGACAGGTTTTTTTTTTTTTTTTTTTTTTTTTTGACCGGTAAGGGGATCGCAACCCTTGCCTTGGTGCTGCCCATACGACACTCAGCCAGTGAGTGCACTGGCCATCCCTATATAGGATCCGAACCCGGGGCCTCAGCGCTCCCAGCCCCGCACTCTCCCGAGTGAGCCACGGGGCCGGCCCCGTAATGGATTGTCAGGGGCCTTCTTATGGCTGAGAGCAAGTGAGGTGAAACCTTCGTAGCCATGAGACCCTATAGTTTGCTACCAATAAGATCCTCACCAGACATTACCTGGACTTTGTAATTCTTAGCCTCTGAAACTGCACTCTCATTATCGTTTGAGGGATTGTTATAACAAAACTAGTACAATGTGTTACTGAAACTTATTTCCCTAAGGGTTCCTTTTGAGAGTTGAGACTCCTTAAACTCATCTAAGATCTGCTAAAATGAAGCCTGAGGGCATGGAGAACACTAACATAGCTGACTCCTGTCATCACTTTCTAGCATTTTAACTTAAGACATAATATACTGAATAAAGTACTCCCAATAATGGTATAATTTACGGAACACACTAAAATCCACTGGCTTTATAAACTATGAAACTAGCCAAATACTGAGTGCACAGATCTTTCTGAAAACGTAGGTGGCTCTTAAAAGAGCCTTTGGTTTCTGAAGCTTGTCGATGGCTCTGAAAAGAGCCTTTGGGGTGTGGTGGTGGCTGGATCGTTTTACTTGGAGCTGGTGTACTTGGTGACGGCCTTGGTGCCCTCGGATACAGCGTGCTTGGCCAGCTCCCCGGGCAGCAGCAGGCGCACGGCCGTCTGGATCTCCCTGGAGGTGATGGTTGAGCGCTTGTTGTAATGCGCCAGCCGCGACGCCTCCCCCGCGATGCGCTCGAAGATATCCGTGACGAAAGAATTCATGATACTCATGGCTTTTGAGGAAATGCCGGTGTCTGGGTGGACCTGCTTCAGCACCTTGTACACGTAAATAGAATAGCTCTCTTTACGAGACCTCTTCCGTTTCTTCCCTTCTTTCTTCTGGACTTTAGTAACCGCTTTCTTGAAACCCTTCTTAGAAGTGGCAGCGCCTTTCAGAGTCACCTCCGGCATGGCTCTTACAGAAAAGCCTACAGCTCTTTCACAGAATCTCTTCGCTCCGCTCTGGACGAAGTGGCAGAAAGCCGAGAGACTGGTATTTATAGGCATGTCCTCATATGACGTGTTGGGCATCTGATGTATGATTGGATGATGCGTGGTGGCGTGTATGTAAATGAGGTGATTCCAGTAAGGCTTTTTGATTGGGTAGCCATTCAGCCAATCAGATAGCAAACCACAGCCTACTGTCAGACTATAAATAGGTCCGATAGTTCCCAGACTCCTGTACTTTTTTTTGGCCGTGGGTAGCTGCTGTAGGCATGTCGGATCGTGAAAAGCAAGGTGGCAAAGAACGTGCCAAAGCTACGTCTCGCTCATCTAGAGCAGGCCTGCGGTTCCCTGTAGGTCGTATCCATCGTCGTCTCCACAAAGGCAGTTATGCCGAGCACATCGGGGCTCATGCGCCGGTGTACCTTGCTGCAGTTTTGGAGTATTTGACAGCTGAGATCTTAGAGTTGGCAGGCAATGCGTCCTGCGACAACAAGAAGATGCGCATTGCCCCGCGCCACTTGCAGCTGGCCATCCGCAATGACGAGGAGCTCAACAAGCTGCTGGGCTGTGTGACTATCGCTCAGGGCGGTATCCTGCCCAACATCCAGGCGGTGCTGCCACCCAAGAAGACTGAGAGTCATCACCCCAAGGTCCAGAGCAAGTAATTCGTACAAGTGGCATCTGGGTGACCTACGTGTTTGAAGGGGAAGCAAAAACAAAAGGCTCTTTTCAGAGCCACACAATTCCAGAGAAAAGCTGTGCATAAGTAAAGGGCTAATAGTTGTGCTAGTAATCCAGGAAAAAACTGCCAGGAAAAGTTATGGTTTAGCCTGTAATGAAAATATTTGATTTTTATAACAGATTAGCTGTGAAAAAGGCAAAGTAGTTGATCTGTGCTGTAAACACCAAGAGGAGTTAAGCAAGATGCTACTGTGGCCGTCAAGTACAAAATTAAAAGGTTATGTGTAATATTCAATAGTTTACTTTTGAAAATGTCTGCTTCTTTAAAAGAAAAATAAATAAAAGCAAGGGGCAAAATGCAAATGAAACATCTCAAGTCCTAGTTGGCATCAACCACTTAGGAAGCCAAAGACCATCAGCAGAATGTGACCTTGATCAAAAGCACTTTGAGGGCCGACTCTGTGGCTCACTCAGGAGAGTGCGGCGCTGGTAGCGCCGAGGCCGCGGGTTCAGATCCCATACAGGGATGGCCAGTGCGCTCACTGGCTGAGCGTGGTGCGGACGACACCAAGCTGAGGGTTACGATCCCCTTGCTGGTCACAAAAAAAAAAAGAAAAGAAATAAAAGCAAGGGGCAAAATGCAAATGAAACATCTCAAGTCCTAGTTGGCATCAACCACTCAGGAAGCCAAAGACCATCAGCAGAATGTGACCTTGATCAAAAGCACTTTGAGGGCCGACCCTGTGGCTCACTCAGGAGAGTGCGGCGCTGGTAGCGCGGAGGCCGCGGGTTCAGATCCCATACAGGGATGGCCAGTGCTCTCACTGGCTGAGCGTGGTGCGGACGACACCAAGCTGAGGGTTACGATCCCCTTGCCGGTCACAAAAAAAAAAAGAAAAAAGAAAAGAGCACTTTGAAGAGGGACCCCCTACTGCTGCTGAATTTTGTGGATTTCATTCTCATCCTCTTTGAGAAAGACTAACTCCCTTAACCTAAGTCCAAATTCTCAGAGGAATGGAGTTACCCAGTTTGGGTCATGTATCCACTCACTGTCCATCAGAGGGAGGAGGAGATGGTTAGAGGGAGGACGTTTATGGTGGAAAACAGTGCGTCTGGGTGGACACATTCATGCTTAGGACTATGAATTTTCCAGTTTTTCTTGGTGAGGTGTAGTATTTGCTTGTATGTGTGTGTTTTGAAAACCCTGTGCTGTGGTCAAAAGTGGTTCTAATTTACCACATGAACAAGTCAAGGTGATATTCTTCTGTTACGGTTATTAACCTGATAGAATTTGCAGTTTTTAAAAATAATGAGGTGAGACATCATTTTAGGTTTGTTGGTAGTGCTTTTTTTAAACTTTTTTTCCTGCTTGGTTCAAAAGATAAAATATAAGTATTTTCAATTAATCGTGGTATTAATCCCTCTTTATATTTTCAGAATCAACCTGTGGGCTCTTTCCTTCTAAATAAACTACAGAATTTTTTTTTTTCAGCTCGAATGCAATCCTTTTCATTCACAAATTAAAAGTTAATATAGAATAAAGTAAGATACATATAAAATTGTGAATACATATTTAAGGAGATATGTTCCTTGATTTTTTGAACCTTTTATGTACCTCTTGTAGAATTTTATAATTTTTCTTATAGAACTTTCACACATGTTTCATAAAGCTCCAGCTGTCCTTCTTTTTATTATTTTATTGGGGGGAAATATTAAAAGGGATTATTTTATTATGTTTTCTAACTGACTATTTTTTACACATAGAAACATTATTGATGTTTGTATTGTAATTTTGTATTTAGCTTCCTTATTACATTCTGTCATTTCTATTATCTACCTTTTTTTTTTTTAATTTAGTGTTTTTCAGATAGGCAGAAAAATTATATAATTTTGTCTGGTTGTTTTCATTTTGTCTAAATGCATAGCCTAACAGTCAGAAATGATGACAAATAAAAATGGTGATCTTGATTTTCTCATCTTATTGTAGATTATAATCAGAATAATATGATACTTCCTAGGGGGAAGCAGGGTTTTCATTTGACTTGTATTATTTCCAGATTGGTAAGAGTTGTTAATTAAAAATAAATATTGGCTATTAACAATTACACCGTAGCAGCAACTGAGACAAGTATATGCTATTTTTTTCCTTTTACTTACTATGATAAATCATATTGAAGGAGTTTGGAACAGGCCTCCAAAATATGCCTCTCTGGCATATTGACTCTTTTGAGTTAAAGGCTTGAAAAACAGTAAGTGCAAGAAGAATATTCTGACCTTCCTTCTGTTTCTTAAAAGCAGATGAAGTTCCCATATGAAAGGTGCCCTCCCTATACCAAAAGGCAAGTATCATTGTCCTCATTAAGGGCAGAAAGTTGAGGCTGAGGAAATTCTGTACAAACCTTGTTATACTACCCCTTATCTTCCTAGTCACTTTTCCACCCAATTAACTACATTAACCCAAGCTCCTTTCCCTTGTTATATTTTCACAATTTACTGCTCTGTATCCAATTTAGTATATAAGTGTTCCACTCTGTGTCTTAGGTTTTCATTTCCTTATGAAGGCTCCCATGCCACATGATGCTTATATTAGATAAATCTGTATGCTTTTCTCCTATTGATCTGTGTTATATCAATTTAATTTTCAGGCCCAGCCGAAAACTCCTAAAAGGGTAAAGTTTTTCCTCCCTGTCTACAACATTATGGATTTGTTATCGGCAACCACAATGTTATATCAATTTAATTTTCAGGCCCAGCCGAAAACTCCTAAAAGGGTAAAGTTTTTCCTCTCTGTCTACAACATTATGGATTTGTTATCAGCAACCACAGAAGTCATAGAACAGTGGAATAATATCTTCAAAGTTCTGAGGTAAATATAATTCTCAACTTAAAATTTTACACTCAGATAAACTATTTTTGTGTAAGCGTGAAATAAATTATTTTTTGGACAAATATTGGAAAGTTTTACCACTCACAGATGCATCATCAAAGAAAGTATTAAAATAAAGAAACTAAACTCAAAAGGTTGGGATGCAAGAAGCAATAATATTACAAAAGAAAGAGGTAAAAGTGTAAATCAATCTGAACAAATATACTGGTTATAAAAAATAACAGTGACAATGCAATAATACTTACTAAGACATTAAAAAGAAAACAGTGAACCCAAAATTCTAGACAATAGTTACAGAAAATGAAAGCAGCTGAACCAAAATAAAGTATTCTGATGTCTTTGTATTGTTTTTAATGAGGGTAAACATACTGATTAAATTGTATTTTCTTAAATTGGGTGTACATTTTATAAAATTAAATCTAACCACCAAAGTATTAAAATTAATGTACAGAAAAGGAGTAATAATGAAAAAAGTCAGTGAATCTAATGGAAAGCAGGAAATCATGAAAGAAAAGGAAAGGCATGATAAATTAAATTGCAAAATAAAAATTTAAAAGTGAGTCCAAGTAAATCAAATATCAAAATGAAGGTAAATGGATTAAATTTGCAATTGAAGAAAACGGTAGTATTTGACTAGAAATGAAACACAGTTATGTCCTGTTTATGAAACACACACCTAAAACCTACTGTCCCAGAACATTTAGAAGAAAGGGAATGAAAAAATGCTTTCCAGACAAAACTACTCCCCCTAATACCTTGTTTTTGCAATATTAATAGCAGAGATAATATTATTTAATGAATAATTTAGTGAAATAATTATTTGATAACTAAAAGGAAAATATTTCTAGACACCTTTACTATTCTTTGTTGTGTTAGTACACAAAAATATAGTTTTATCTATAAAAAACAAACACTAACAAAAATATATGAGAAACGGATTATAGTGTATATTTTAAAATATCTGTCTTGAAAAAGATAATCATCCTTACCACATATTTGGATGTTAAAAGCATACTAAAGTATAATTCAGGTGTTAATAGCAAAACCATAAACTTCTGTCACTTTATCTCTCTGGCTGTCTCTGTCTTAGTCTATCACTGTGTCTTTCTCTGTCTTTGTCTCCTTGGCTTATTCTGTCTGTCCTTCTGTGTCTTTGTTTGTCCTTCTGCCTCTGTCTGTCCTGTGCTTCTAATATACTGAATTTGCATCCACTTGTTGGTATGTGTTCCTACAAAATGCATATTATTTTGTGAGTCACAAAGTGTGTAATAAAATAGTCAACAATTTTACACCCTGTAGTTTAAGTTACTGGAGAAAAATGACCTCTCTTTTTCAATTCCAGTCTGAAAAATCCTGGAGAGTTTCTCAGATTGGTCCAGCTTGTGTCTGATTTTATATCATCCCTGGGCCAGGGAGTCTGGTCATGTGAGAAATGGTTCCTGTGGAAACCAAGTGGCTATAGGGTTGAGGAGGATGCCAGTAGTTCTATGGACAAGAGAGAGGTTATAATTTAATCTTACAGATGTCTACTACATGTTGCATGAGCCATTAGGGACACACTAATGAATACAGTGTTTTATAACTATTGTGTTTGTGTCTCTGATGATTTTTAAAATACTTTTTATGAGGCTGTGAAACGCATCTTTGAATGCAAGCCCTCTTGTACAAATGCATTTCCCTCAATGAATTAGGGACATATAAACTTGGATGAAATATAGTCTCTGCCTAGCACAGTGCCCACACTTTTTGGTAGATATTCAGTAAGTTGAAGGAAGGAAGAAAAGAAGAAAGAGATGATAGTCTAACAGGGTAGATGCACAAAAATGGATGAAATATAGTCTCTGCCTAGCACAGTGCCCACACTTTTTGGTAGATATTCAGTAAGTAATGAAGGAAGGAAGAAAAGAAGAAAGAGATGATAGTCTAACAGGGTAGATGCACAAAAATAATAATCTTCAAAATTGGAATTAAGTTCATCACAGTGTTCATAAGTCTAGGGAACATGCAGGTGTAACTGGTACGAGTAGACTAGAATATATTTCCTCGTTTTAATTGATTCTTTAACCTTGCATTCTGTCTTTGCCTCAACTTTCTTACTGACACTGCTTTCACTAAGATTACCAATTGCGGGCCGGCCCAGTGGCGCACTGCTACAGTGTGCCGCTTGGGAGCGCGGTGGCGCTCCCGCCGAGGGTTCGGATCCCACATACAGACCGGCCGTTCACTGGCTGAGCGAGGTGCGGGCACAACACCTAGGGTTGCGATCCCGTTGCCGGTCACGAAAAAAAAAAAAAGATTACCAATTGCCCATCAGTGGCCTCTTTCCTATCCTTATATTATATGACCCTTTTGACTACTTTCTGAC